AAGTAAAACACAAGGGAAAAAGCAACAACGAAAGAAAGAAAGAAAGAAAGAAAGAAAGAAAGAAAGAAAGAAAGAAAAACGGAAGAAAGAAGTAATTATAAGAGGCGGCAAAGAAAGAAATAAAAAAAAGTAAAAAAGGGGAAAGAAAGAAAGAAAGAAAGAAAGAAAGAAAGAAAGAAAGAAAGAAAGAAAGAAAAAAAGAAATAGTTAAAGGAAGGAGAATGAAAGAGACAAGGAAAAATCAGCAAAGAAAGAAAGAAAAAAAATGATGGAAAGAAAGAAAGAAAGAAAGAAAGAAAAGAAAGAGAAAGTTAGGAAGGAGAATGAAAAAACACAAGGAAAAAAAGCAACAAAGAAAGAAAGAAAGAAAGAAAGAAAGAAAGAAAGAAAGAAAGAAAGAAAGAAAGAAAAACGGAAGAAAGAAGTAAGAGGCGGCAAAGAAAGAAAGAAAAATAAGTAGTAAAAAAGGAGAAAGAAAGAAAGAAAGAATGAATGAAAGAAAAAGAAAGAAAGAAAAAAGCTAAATTAGAAAAATCTAAAAAAGAACGAAAAAGACGAAGGAAAAGGAGGAATGCACTTTGAAGAAAATAGTTCAAAGATCGACTTGCGTTTTATATGTGAAATTGAAACCCGCCATATGCCAATTCATTTCCCGCCACTAATTACCTTCACCTATAATTTTACTTCAAACAATCACATCTACACGGCCCAACTCTACAATAATATTATCTATTCACATGACGATATCGATATTATCATCATCATCATCATTATTATTGTAAAAAAATTACTGGCGATAATCATTGCTAATAACTGATCCATCATCCCTAAATACGCCTCAGCCATTTTGGATTCGCCTTAGTCTCAATATATTCCTATCGCTAACTGGCTGGAAACAAGACGTATTTGAAAAGCAATACTAGTACCGTATTCGTTAGCCTACTGGACACACCTACACATTAGAAGCACACAAATTTTGACAAGGAATATTTAGGGAAAAATGCACAGATGACAAAAAATATCTAATTTATAGCCTTACCATGACGAGACCTTCTCACTAACCACGAAGAAACACATACAGTAGTAACACAAATTATACGACTGGTTCCTTAAAAAAAACAAAGTGAGGTAAGGTTTAATTGGCTGGATATTTTTTTTAAAGAATTATTTTAATACATTTCATCATGCTGTTATTGAACATTGTTTTGTTGTTTTTAATATCTGCACATTCTGTAAATTCATAAAAGCTATAAAGAAAAGTATCAGTAACACTGTAACATAGTAATAGACAAAAAAAACAGAAATGTGGTACTTTTTTGGTAAGTTCCATATCATTCATGCAGAAAAGCTCATTCCAATGCCTGTACATCAACAAAAACACACACAAAGCAAAATATACCAGTCAAAACAAATATTTCTGTAAAATGTGGTATTTCAAAAAAAAAAAAAAAAAAAAAAAAAAAAGCAATATATTATGCAGTTCCATAAATTTCTTTTTTCTGGCAGAATTTTTCAGGGATATAAGTCCTAGTTTCAGAGATAATCACTAGGCGTGAAGTGCTGTAAATCTCACTTTTTTGTGGTATTCATGCCCCTCTCATATATGATACTGCTATATTAGATACAGGTTAATTTGGGGGGAAAGATCTGTGTTCAATGTGGCCGGCAAACACAGTAATTATAAAACTGCATTTTATTTTATGTTCAACTTTATTTTAGAATAACAATGCCAACGTAAGGAACAGATTTTAGAATAAATTTTGTTCTCTAAAAGACTTCACCGAAGGACTGAGGAATTGAAAAAATAATATAAAAATCCTTAAATATAACATACCATATATATATATATATATATATATATATATATATATATATATATATATATATATATATATATATATATATATATATATACACACACACATATATATATATATATATATATATAGAGAGAGAAAAACAACTGAAAAGTTGAAAATTAAAATAATAATAATCTTTTTTATGAAAGTATTTATTTATATTTGATATTTCAGATCGACCTCGATCTTTCTTCAGAAATAACTGTTTTTAGAGGTTTGTTTACAAGTACCCAACACCAATATCAAGATACACCCACCTCGCCTCACCTGTGATAGCCATAAGATAATTTACTATTTATTCTGCACCTTTGTCCTAATAGTGGATATATTGGTGAATCAGGAAATAGTTTTAGATTTCGCTTCAACAATCATAAACAAACCATACGTCAAAACAATCCTTATTCCCCCATAGCTGAACCCTTTAATCAATCAGGACACTCATTAGAAAACTGTAAATGTTTATTGATAGATTCTGATTTCAGTTCCACATACAGACGCAGAAAAAAAGAAAAATACTAGATTTTAAAATTAAATACATATAAACTAGGGTTAAATAAAGACTTGGGTATTTTAAATCTTTATAAATATTTCAATAGTTAAACATTTTTTTTAGATATAGTTAATTTTTTTTTAAAACATCTAGAATATTATTACAGTTAGATTTACGTTAAAAATATTCGAACACATGGGCGTTCCATATCACGTGACGTCCGCATCTCGCGACGGACGCTACTTGTAAACAAACCTCTAAAAACAGTTATTACTGAAGAAAGATCGAGGTGGATCTGAAAATATCAAACATAAATAAATACTTTCATAAAAAAAATATTATTTTTTTAATTTGCAACCTTTTTCTATATATACATATTAAGAAAGTATACGTGGCTTCTCATTATACTATATATATATATATATATATATATATGGTGGACTTTCCTATCGTGAACGATCAATGAAGGTCAGCATTGGATGGTGCCTTTGCATGCTAGCAGAAGCTATTGTAGAGAAAATCAGGTAAGGGAAAGATATATTTCATTTGTGCTATCTTAAGTGTGATACTAGCCTAGCCTTGCTGCGGTCGACAAAGCCACACTGACAGATGAAATTTGTTAATGCAGGATTTTAATGGCGTCTCTACTTCAGAACTTGAGGAAGCTGATTACATATATACAGGTTTTTGTGTGTGTGTGTAACAATTGAGGGCAGTGTACAAAATTTTGACGTGAGACGTACAGAAATCATGACCCCATTTACATCCACACGCAAAAAGCCACCGCACTGATAAACTACAAAGCAACCCTCTTTTTTCCCTTTCACTGCGAACTACGATCAAAGCGAAGTGGGTGCTGAAAAGTAAGAACGAAATAATGAAAGACAATCAGAGGGGGAATTAGAAAGAAATAGAGAGAGAGGAGATAAATATATGTCACTTAAAACTTGGCTGAGGTTCATATTTTATTTCAGCTTGAAATTGAAAGTTACTATTCTTCGAGCTGTCTGGGATTGTGGGACCGATTAGCACTAGCCATGATGTTCTAATTTCTCAGGAAACTTGATTCTCAACAACAACAAAGGTGTGCCACAAAAGCGTGCGTAAACAATAAGGAAAAATGCGGATATCATTCCTGAGGTGTTTATAAATTGTACACTGTTCAATTACTAACGCTAAAAACGAACTATCTTAAATTACGAAATTGTACTTGGATTCATTACACGAAAATTACTTATACTATAATACATATTACTTATAACACATACTTTCTTTCCAAATTAAATAGGGCAAATATTATTTACGAATTTAAATGCCCATTAAGGAGTTGTATTCCTGATCAATCAAAATTCGTAAATAATTATATAGGCCACACTACAACATGTTTGACACGCAGACTCACTCTACACCTTTCTGATCATAGTTCAATTAGATCTCATTTAAATATTCATGGAGACCTACCGGACACTATTCGTAACATACTTGTTAACAACACAAATATAATAGCATCATCGACATGCAAAAAAAGGCTAAAAATAATGGAAGCATTATTAAAAAAAAAAAAAAACACTTAGTAATAACTTTGAACATGGACATAATATCTTGACCGTGTTTTGAAAAATGAAAACATTTTATAAAGCATACATACAACAAACTATTTCTTATTTAACAGTTAAAATATTTAATGCTTGAAAATGGCTCAATGTATAGCCGCAAGCGCTCGGATAAAAAGAACATTCGGACAGTTTTTTTTATAATTTATCATCCGAAAAGAAAAAACTATTAGACCGCGTGAGAAATTGTATAAAAAACTAAATAAAAACACCTTGTCTGTCGTATTCAATGAAATGTGCATATATATATATATATATATATATATATATATATATATATATTAAGCAATATAGATAATATCATATCTTACATTAATTGCACAACTCGGAGTTTCATACCGAAGCAATTTTTAAGTGCATGAAACTCTATTCGATGCTGCGGATCTGAAAAATAGCTCTTTTATTGCGGTCACCTTCACCTCCCGGCCAATTTGGCTAAAATCAAAGTGTAGTATCTGTCCTTATCAGTTTAATCTGATTCTCTCTCTCTCTCTCTCTCTCTCTCTCTCTCTCTCTCTCTCCTTGTATCTTCCCTTTCTTTCTTTCACTTTATCACTGAAACCAAGTTATGTCTGTTCCGTGCATAATCAGAAGCAGAATGGTTCATTATTTATGTTATTGGCAGGACGTAAAGGTCGTGCTAAATAACTGTTGTGTATGATACACCTAATTTACATAAGCGGACTACCGACCATATAAATATGGGTTGGTACCGGAAGACGGGGAAGATAGTAGAGATTAAGAAATTGAATCCAGAGACTCTGCCCGACTGCGATTTAGTCAACCCATTATGCAGGAACAGTCTTCCCAAGAATATACCAAACTAACTGTAAATATTGTGTACCTATTCTTTGTTTCAATACATTTTGTTAACGTACATTTTGTGTTGTATTATTCCATGCTTATTTAAGCTTCAACAATAACGAAGGGCAAAACGAGCATAATTATACTAGGATCATTCTAAAATCAATTTTTCTATAACTCTGATATACGTTCTTTTATTTCCTTTCAGCGTGCTCTGGGAAGCCAGCGAATATTATGTTCGTCTTGGATTCCTCCAACAGCATCTGGATCATCGATTACAAACAGCAGCTGGAGTTTGTTAGGAAGCTAGTCAACACTTTCGACATTGGACCCGACAAAACCCAGGTCCGCATCGGCGCAATTACGTTCAGTAACACGGCACACCTCGAGTTCTCCTTCGGCCATTACAGCGACCAAGAATCGCTGAGCAAAGCCATTTTAAACATCCCCTATCGCAAAGGTTCAACAAACACCGCTCTTGCGCTTGACCTGCTCAGAAAAGAAACTGAATCTCGAATCAAAGACTCAACTGTTCCTTACCTTGGCATTGTTATCACTGACGGTCTTTCCACTAATCCGAAGGCAACTCGTCACGAAGCAAAACGATTGCACGATCTTGGGATTGCTGTCTACGCTATTGGAGTTGGTAATAATTATCATTTGAAAGAACTGAAGGCCATCGCCAGTAATCCAGTTGAGAATGTTTTCCAGGTTTCTAGTTATTCGGCTTTGAAAAGCATCACACAGGCTTTAAATATCAAAACTTGCAAAGGTAAGAAAATAAAAACATTTTTATCAAATATACATCCCTATTTACATTGCTCGGACTATCATCCTCATCTTTGTTGCCATATTTAATCGCAACTTTTCGGCCTTCTTCAGGTGGTTGGGATGCCGAACTGAACCCTTTATTTCGCTCGCTGGGGTAGACTGTTCTAGTTCCACGTGCCATGCCTAATGGATGTCAGTTATCAGTTATCCCCTGTTAATTCCCCTCTCCAAGTTCTCCACCGCCTTAACCAGGTATTGAACTCACACTCTTTGTGTCTTGTCACGGAATCTAACTAACGCCTTTATCCACTGGGCCATGTGTCCTCAAGTGTCCTCAGTAGATTAACTTAGTTAGATAACTGACATCCATTAGACATGGTACGTGGAACATTCCAACCACCTGAAGAAGGCCGGAATGTACAACGGCCGAAACGTTGTGATAAATATGGCAACAAAGATGAGGATGATAATCCGAGCAATGTAAATAGTGTACATCTCAGAAATATAGACAATATACATCCCATGTTCATTTCGTTAATTTAAAAAAATGAGGACGTTTTTGAGCGTTCCCAGACCTCCGGAATAATTACGCAAGGTTTTACATTGGTACAACGATGTCAAACAAATACGATTTTCATTTTGAAAGAACACAGAGGGTTTTATGGAAGCATGCTTTGAGTGCTTACAAGATCGTATCATATGAGGTGAGGGCTGAGAACTGGTAAATTTGGGGAAGGAAGGCTTGGAAAACCTGATACCCACAGGACAGGGGAAAGCAGCGCGTAACATACTTGATAGGTTTGGGCAAATGGATTGTAGAACAGGGTTAGGAAGAAATAGCAAAACGATAAAAATTATTAAGAGCTACAAGGGAGAGGAAAATGTGGAGGGCCGTGATCTCCTGCGTCCTGAAGGGACACAGCAGATAAAGAAAGTAATTCACAGACAAAACACGAGTTTTTAGAGAAAATGGAAACAAAAAGGAAGGTGCAGTTGAAATTTCGGGGATACGCAATGAGGAAGGAGGGCTTGGAAAATCTGACACTCACAGGACGGATTGAGGGAAAGAGGGACAGAAGAAAATAGTGCGTAACATACTTGATAGGATTGAGTAAATGGATGGTAGAACAGGCTTTGGGAGAAATAAAAAACAAAACTTATTAAGCCCTATAAAAGACGGGAAGATGTGGAGGGCCATGATCGCCTACATCCTGAAGGAACACGACACATAAAAAGAAAATGTCAGTACTTATTCATTCCAGGGTATAATGTTTTACTACTTGTTCCAGGGATTGAACTCATGACGACTAAAGTTTTTTTTTATTCTCCCTTCTTTTCTAGATATTGAAATAACGACAACAACGACAACAACAACACCTGTGCCGACGACTATAACCACAACTACATCCCCTGCTCCAACAACCGACACAACCACACCTTCACCAACAACGACAACCACTACCCTAGCAACAACTACCACCACATCAATTACTACTACCACACTTTCCCCTACAACAACAACGACGACTACAGCTGCTCCAACGACCCTCACCACTACAGCTGCTCCAACGACGACCACCAGAAGACTGGAAAGGCTTCAAAGAGACGAAACAAGTAAGTAATATTTGATAAAGGTCAATATACGTACCCACAAAAAAGTAACAAGTAAGGAATATTTGATAACGGATAATATACGTACCCACAAAATAGTAACAAGTAATATTTGGTAAAGGTTAATATACGTACCTACAAAAAGGTAACAAGTAAGTAATATTTGGTAACGGTTACTATACGTACCTACAAAAAAGTAACAAGTAAGCAATATTTGATAAAGGTTAATATACGTACCCACAAAAAAGTAACAAGTAAGCAATATTTGATAAAGGTTACTATACGTACCCACAAAAAAGTAACAAGTAATTAATATTTGATAAAGATTAATATACCTACCCACAAAAAAGTAACAAGTAAGTAATATTTGATAAAGGTTAATATACGTACCCACAAAAAAGTAACCAGTAATATTTGATAAAGGTTAATATACGTACCCACAAAAAAGTAACCAGTAAATAATATTTGATAAAGGTTAATATACGTACCCACAAAAAACTAACCAGTAAGTAATATTTGGTAGAGATTAATATACGTACCCACAAAAATTAACAGTAATATTTGATAAAGGTTAATATACGTACTCACAAAAAAGGAAAAAAAACGGCCATTACTGTGTAAATCTCGCGCCAATTTTTTATCAGTTTAAAAAGTTATTTTTAAAATTTTCATAAAACCCGAATATATGAAAATATTTATGTATTTTTCCCAATTTATGTCACGAGAACAAATGAAAGAAATGTCTAGAAAAAAAAATTTTTTTTAAACTTTCTAATTTGTTACTCAACGTTGTTTTCATTTAAATATTGTTTAGGAAAATGCATTGGAAATGATTTTAAATTAGGTTGATTGCTTTTACAATATCTGTAATGATATTATTTACTAGCAGCATGACCCGGCGTTGGCCGTGCTTGATTCAAAAATAGTACGACTCATACAGCAATCGCTATCACTTGACTTAAAATATTTTTTGCCCTTCCTTGCTTTTAAAGGAGTGCCCTTTGCTGTGCTGATGTTGCTACATGCCTTATTTCTTGCCTATCTCACACTGCGAATTTTTGCTAAGCTCTATACTAAACATTAAATCTGTTACGAAAAAAAGAACTAAACAAAATGAACACAAAACGATCAGCTTTAAAAAAAGGACTCGTAACTGGAAAAACCGAATGGAAAAAAGAATGTTAACAACAAATACTTTTTCACACACAACCCAATTCTGCGGAATCAGAATCAACGTTGAGTTTGAGCAAGCGAATGAGCCAATTGGAGTAAAGTGCCATGCAGATTTAAATTTTTCCCACTTGTGACGAATGCAGCTATCGATTTTTTTGCATGCTAGCATGCTAGTTAATATGCGTGTCAGTCAGCTGTTGGCTCTCACGCTGGCCAATAGAATCTTCCTGTCAATTCGTGACAGCCAGCTATAGGCTCTCACTCTGGCCAGTAGAAAATGGCCGCAAACTACATGAAAACTGCCGTAGAAGCATGAAAAAATCGATTATTTTCACTATCGATGGGAGTTGGGAAATGCAAAGTCGATCTTGGCCTTCCCGCTAACTTGAAGCATGTGCATGTAAATTTTGGTGCAAATCTGTCGAAAATTGCGGCCGTGCATTCGTTCCACACACGCACACATCCTGCCTTTTATAGATATAGATTATAATTTCTATTATATTATACTTTTATAACGTTGCATTTTGTGAGGGTCTAACTCACTACTCTTGTAATGGTCAAATAGAATAACCCCCTCCCCTTAACCATTACCCTATGCCTTGGCGCTGTCTAATAATTTCAATTTATAAACAAATTGTTTCTTTATGTTTTCTAGGTTCCGTATCTTTTGGATACGATTTACTGGCAATGGGAGCCTACCGAGCCCGTATGATCTCAGAATTTATCAATTCCTTGCTTCCATACACTGGATACGGCAATTATGGTGTTGTCTCTTTTTCTTATTGCCCTGAAATCTACAATGTTCCAGTGACGTCTTTGATGAACACCACGTCTGACGAATCGATCCGTCGCCTTCCAACCAGCAATCGAATTCCCGACCTTTCCGACGTTGTCTCCAGAATGAGACAAGATCTCTACTCGAACACAGTTCGGAATTTTCCCAATGGGATAGCCGGCCGCCAAGCCGGCATCCTCTTTCTCGACCCCGCCGTTACTGCCATCACGCCCCGACTCATACGGGAGACGAACAGGCTCAAAAATCAAGGGTTTAAGCTCTTTTTAATCAATGTTGGACGTGTGCCGTGGCCTCAGCCCCGTTACTTATACACCATGAGCAGTCAACCGTACCGTAACTATATGTTCCGCTTCCCGTCTTACACGAATTTATTGCATAGAGTAAGGCATGCTCCCTTCCAGTTTCGAGCTTTGTGCAATGGTTACGTACCTTCAAATTATTAACTAATCAACCGCAAAAAATGACGAAAATTAATTAACAAATATTGATGCTACTTTTCCCGTAGCCGCCATTGACATTGAAGCCTCTAACCAACCAAGTGCACATCTTTGAAAAAAATAAATCAAAGAACAAAAACTTCAAGCTAGTAGAACCTCTGCTGCAACAGAATCATTTCTTTGGAAGCTTTCTACAAAGGATTACCATTAAAGGAACAAAACAGATAACACTGGTCAAGACGATTTTTGGCGCCAAGAAACAAACACTTTTTAGCTAATTCCGAAAATGGCCTTAGTTTTTCATGGTTAGCTATCATCTTTGTTGTACTGAAATTGCTCATTTTTGGATAAAAAAAAGATCAATTTAGGATCTTGGCTGATCGTAAAATTTAATTAATAAATGTCGTAGAAATACATCAATTTTCAGGTCGGCCGAGCAATTTATGTCAGTCAAATGAAATAAGTTATTTTTATAAGAAAAAAGTGTTTTTAAGTCAAAAGCTTTAAAACCGATGTACCATTTTTTTTTCCAATTTATCGCCAAAATTCAAATTAATTGATAATCTTTATCAGTAATACACTTTAGTAACCTGATAATTAAGGTGACATCACAAAAATGAAATCCTAAAATCTTCTGTTTGATATTCCTAAATTTATCCCATCACTTTTATCCCTTCACTACGGGAGGAAACCAAACACATTGAGAGCATTTTGTTTTGACAGTTGGAAAGAAACTCCAAAGACATCCCAATTGAATGTACCTTTTTCATTGTCCATGATACTGCTGGAATATCAAAAGGGACTTAAATAACATTGAATATGACAATCAAGAAAGAGAAAACTCTTTCTATAGTTCTTATATTCACGAACGTTTTATTTCTGCTGTTAGTTTATTAAATGATTTGATGAAAATACTTGTTGGTCATGGTATATTCAATCGTGTTAGTTTTAAAGATTTAGGGTTTGATTTTTATTGCAAAAATAGTATTTCTCAATAAGCAGCCCAATATTTGTTGGTTTAAATACGAATTGAAAGGTTTCTACGATTTTATTTTGAGAAATATTGCCATCGGTCAACATCATATATACAGAAAATAGATGAAAAAAATGCTTTTTTTTACCCGAAAATGAGGAGGCATTTCTGTAGAGCAAAACAGCAGATAACGAAGAAAAAGTAAGGTCATTTTCAGAATCAGCGGCCTCAAATTAGCTAAAAAGATGTTTAGTGTCTAGACATCATTTCAATTTTTTGTTGTTGTTGTTGACCAGTGTACTAATATCAAGGAAACAAATCGGGACTATGTATTGAATGCAGCAAAATAGCTCAGTCACATCAGAGGAGCGACTCTTTCTGCAGGTATGAGGGATAATATTGTCGCTGACAAAAATGACTCCATTTCTTATCTCAGCATCACGCGTAAAAGCCCACAGACATCCAGATGATCCACAATTATATCAGAGGTTTACGTTGTCTAAAGCTTCAACCTATACAACCTTTTCTTCAGTCCTTGATGAACAAAGACGTTTTACACCCATTGCATGTGACATTTTCATAGGCTCTTCAGTAAAAACGCTACACCCGCTCGATAGACGCTTCCTGCCATACACAGCAATCAGTTCAAATTTTTCTGGGATGTTTGCCAGTGACATGCAAAAATCTTATTGTACCATACACCTCTATATTTTTATACTGTTTTTATTTTCCATCTCGAGGTACTCAACAAAAGCCAAAGAAGAGTCTGCAATGTAATCAATCCTCACTTGGGATCCCGACTCCAGTCACTCTCCCACAGATGTGATGTGGCTTCCCTCTATCTTTTCTACAAATATTTTAATGGTAACTGCTCTCACGAACTATTTCCCCTGCTACTCCGACTGCATGAATTCAAGCGTGTTACTTGGTTGGCACTTAGGTCCCATCCTTTTACTGTTGAAACATTTAAATGCAACCGCCTTATTTTTACTACAACAGCTTCTCTCGCACTTCCCGACAGTGGGAGTCCCTTCCACTTAGTTGCTTCTCTGATAACTATAATCTTCAAAAATTTAAATGCAACCTCAATCACCATCTTCTTGAATCCCGTTCATCTTTTATCCTTTCCTCAATCCTTCCTTTACTCAGTCTTTTCTCTCAATTTCTCCCTTGTAACTCTTTGCGTACTAGTGACATTCCCGACTGCTTGGGGTGAAATGATTAACAAAATTTAAATTCAACGTCAATCGCCATCTTAGATCTCCTTGAACCCCGTTCATCTTTTGACCTTTCCTCAATCCTCTCTATATTCAGTCTTTTTTTAACTTTCACCTTTCCCCCTGCGTCAATCCTCATGGGGTGAAATGATTAACATAATTTAAATACAGCGTCAATCGCCATCTTTTCTTCTTGAATCTCGTTCATCTTTTGACCTTTCCTCAATCCCCCTATATTCGTCTTTTACTAACTTTCCTCCCTGTAATTGCGTAGTAGCCTCTCATGGGGTGAAATGATTAACATAATTTAAATACAGCGTCAATCGCCATCTTCTATCTTCTTGAATCTCGTTCATCTTTTGACCTTTCCTCAATCCTCTCTATATTCAGTCTTTTCTCTAACTTTCACTCCCTGTAATCCCCTGCGTAGTAGTGGCATTCCCGCCTCTCATGGGGTGAAATGATTAACATAATTTAAATACAGCGTCAATCGCCATCTTCTATCTTCTTGAATCTCGTTCATCTTTTGACCTTTCCTCAATCCTCTCTATATTCAGTCTTTTTCTAACTTTCACTCCCTGTATCCTAGTAGTGGCATTCCCGCCTCTCATGGGGTGAAATGATTAACATAATTTTACAGCGTCAATCGCCATCTTCTATCTTCTTGAATCTCGTTCATCTTTTGACCTTTCCTCAATCCTCCCTATACTCAGTCTTTTCTCTAACCCCCTGTAATCCCCTGCGTAGTAGTGGCATTCCCGCCTCTCATGGGGTGAAATGATTAACATAATTTAAATACAGCGTCAATCGCCATCTTCTATCTTCTTGAATCTCGTTCATCTTTTGTCCTTTCCTCAATCCTCGTTCAGTCTTTTTCACTTTCCTCCTTAACCCCCCTGCGTACTAGTGGCATTCGCCTTGCGTGGGGTGAAATGATTAACATAATTTAAATACAGCGTCAATCGCCATCTTCTATCTTCTTGAATCTCGTTCATCTTTTGTCTTTTCCTCAATCCTCCTCCTCAGTCTTTACTCACTTTCCTCCCCCTGTAACCCCTGCGTACTAGTGGCATTCCCGCCTTGCCTGGGGTGAAATGATTAACATAATTTAAATACAGCGTCAATCGCCATCTTCTATCTTCTTGAATCTCGTTCATCTTTTGTCCTTTCCTCAATCCTCCCTATACTCAGTCTTTCACTCTCACTTTCACTCCTGTAACCCCCTGCGTACTAGTGGCATTCTGCCTGCCTGGGGTGAAATGATTAACATAATTCAAATACAGCGTCAATCGCCATCTTCTATCTTCTTGGTTCATCTTTTGTCCTTTCCTCAATCCTCCCTATAAAAAACTGTAATTTTTCAGCCTTGCCTGGGGTGAAATGATAAAAAAGAATTTTTTTATTATTAGAATGAGTTTAACATTAGAATCGTTCTGACTGTTACAAGAAATATTGCACATCCATTGTTGCTTCTTTTAGCAGATCTCATAGTATTTATTCCCGTTTTATTTATAGCAATATGTATGTTATTATCTGGCATCCCACGTATTTTAATCCTGGAAGTCACCCCTACATTGTTTGTTTTCACACTTTAGCATCATTCTCACGCCTAATATATATATATATATATATATATATATATATATATATGGAGAAAAATTTGGAAAAAAACAAACAAAATTCCTTAAATACAATTATGTTGTTTAAAATGAATGAAATGTCGACGTCTGACGTTTCGGTTTAATAAACCTTCTTCAGGACAATATTCATTAAAATACAATTCAGTTCAATTTGACAAAGACGATGGACATAAAAAACAAGTCTTATCCAAAACAGATAACTGAAAATTTTTTAAAATGATCAGCTTTCCGTTAAGCATGGTCACGTTGTCGTCACATGGGCGACGCGACATTTCATTCATTTTAAACAACATAATTGCATTTAAGGATTTTTGTTTGTTTTTTTTTCCAAATTTTTCTTCATTCTGTCGGATCTATATCCATTTACATTTGCTTACATATATATATATATATATATATATATATATATATATATATATATATTAAAATGATAGGAAAACACAATGAGATTTATATAAAATCGCTACTTCATTTCTTTGATTTAATAGCGTGTTTTTGTAGACATTGTCAATATTTTCCCTTAAATAATAGCTATTTTTTTAATAAATAAAATTAACATATTTATATTTAATTATAAATAAAATAGTTTAAGAATGCATAGATTCTAATATATTAATTTTAACATTAACATATATTCACTCAATTGGTAAATAAATTAGATATATCGGTACGAATAAAAATATAAATATTAAAAATGTGACTAAATAAATATTTGAAGTCCCCTTTTGAAAAAATCTTAATTAAAATTTATATAAAAATTAAAATTAAATTAAAAATAAAAATGCGAAATGCATTGCTATTGAAACTCAGACGATGTGTTGGAATATAGACACTACCAGAAATTTCTACTTGAAAAAGGGAAGTTTATATCAATAGACAGATACCCCAGCACCCACCTCGACTTGACCGACTTAATAGCTACAATACATTAGATACATGAGTTTTCTAAATAAGTTAAATTTTAATACCACTAAAATAAAAAAAAAGATTAAATTTTCCTTAATCCCAACATCTCAAAATATCAAATTTGTCTGGACTTATAATTTAAGCAAATCAATTTCTAAAATGTTATTCTTAGCATCGCTTGATAATGGAACGGAACTTTGCATTTTA